AGAGATGGAGAGAGAGCCAGAGGAAAGAGGATGATCTTTCAGTCACAACAAGGCTTGACTGCACAGTTCACAGCCATGAACAATTCATCATGTCAGAAGAACCAAAATTATATACCAAATCAGTCATATAGAAAATAATAAATTACATGAAAATGTAAAACAATAATTAGAGTTACACCAAAATAAAAATTCTGGGCCGAAATTTAGGATGCAACTATTTGAAAACATTTATTTTGTATAAATGTATAAATATTAGATTTTTTAATTAATTGCATGAATTTAATGAATTGAAAAACAAAACAATAAAATAAATAATATATAAAATGTTTCGGGAACTGTAATGATAAACAATAAATTACTAACAATAAATAAATAAATAACAATAAAAGAACACTTTTATTTAATTGTTTATTTATTTATTTATTTTCTGGGAACACGTTTACTAATGAAGTGATAAAAGTGACTGTTAATATGCAGTCAATATGAGATTAAGATTCGTTCAAAAATGCTGATTCATCCAGTAATGAAACAAGTTGAGCCTTTATGAGCGAGTCCTTGAATCATTTATTCAAGATATTTCTTCAAAAACGATGATTCATTCAATAATGAAACAAGTGGAGCCTTTATGAGAGAGTCATTGAAGCATTCATTCAAGAGATTCGTTCAAAAACACTGATTCATCCAGCAATGAAACAAGTGGAGCCTTTATGAGTGAGTCATTGAATCATACATACAAGAGATTTGCTCATAAATGCTGATTCATCTAGAAATGACACAAGTGGAGCCTTTATGAGCGAGTCATTGAATCATTCATTTAAGAGATTCGTTCAAAAATGTTGATTCATCCAGTAATGAAACAAGTAGAGCCTTTATGAGCGGGTCATTGAATCATTCATTCAAGAGATTCGTTCAAAAATGCTGATTCATACAGTAACGAAACAACTGGAGCCTTTATGAGCGAGTCATTAAATCATCCTTTCAAGAGATTCATTCAAAACGCTGGTTCATCCAGTAATGAAACAAGTGGAGCTTTTATGAGCGAGTCATTGAATCATTCTTTCAAGAGAGTCATTCAAAAACGCTGATTCATCTAGTAATGAAACAAGTGGGGCCTTTAAGAGCGAGTGATTGAATCATTTATTCAAGAGATTCGTTCAAAAACGCTGATTCATCCAGTAATGAAACAAGTGAAGCCTTTATGAGCGAGTCATTGAATCATTCATTCAAGAGATTCGTTCAAAAAGGCTGATTCATCCAGAAATGAAACAAGTGGAGCCTTTATGATCGAGTCATTGAATCTTTCATTCAAGAAATTCGTTCAAAAACGCTGATTCATCCAGTAATGAAACAAGTGAAGCCTTTATGAGCGAGTCATTGAATCATTCATTCAAGCATTTTTTTTATATACAGACCACAGAAATTAACATTTTTTCAGTTCAGAATCGCGGGAGAATCGTGATAATAGAATACAAAAAAATAAAGAAAAAAAAACATGAATCTAAAGTTCTCTAGAATCATGCAACTCTATCTCAAACTCTTTTCATATCGGACAAGATAAGAATTGTACTTAAACTTTCAGGCTCTGAATCTGTCAGAAGTGGTTCTGCTTTAGTCTGACTGATGGACAAACTTCTTGTGCATGTGGCAAAGTGTGTGATTCAAATCAACCCTCGTGCAAGTAAAATACAAGTTTAACGGCCCGTGATCCCTTACTGTAAAGAAGCTTCAGAGGAGTGTCAGATGGAAAGAAGCCAGACAGACGTAAGAGCTCTTCTTGAGTAAACAAGCCCACGGAAAGCCTGGGAGAGCAGCGTAAACACTTCCTCGGAGAAGTGTCTCAGTTTATCAGGGCTAATATAACTTCATGACGCATGGACGAAATGGCATATGCCGTATCGGGTGGTCTGGATATGAACACGCTCCATGAGGAAAACCGATCCGTGTTTGGCGGCAAAGAACATGCAACTGGAGTGGATGTCAAAACATTTGTATGGGGTTTATTTTCCATGTCTTCAGGGATATCAAATTTCACTACTCCCTGTGAGTTTGAAGAGTGAAACGGAGAATGGTAAAATAGGCCAGGGAGAGAGGGATCTTAAAATCTCCCAAAAAAAAGATTAAAAGGGAATTGAATGAAAATGAAAACATGAGGAAAGCAAAAAGAAGTTATGCGGCAATGTGGACCAAACTAAATGAAGAATATCTCCAGATGTCAAGAGTGAGTATTCAGGTCTTACCACTGATAGTGATGCCCAGCTCCACTCCTCTTTTCTTCTGCAGCTTTACATGGAAAGTCCCACTGCTGGGCACAACAGATTCTGGCCATACAGCAAAGAGTATATAAAAAAGTAATAGATTGTGTTGAAACACAAATACCGATTTTCAATCAAATACCAATAGAAACTGAGAAGGTTCATGTTTTCCACCAACAAGAACCAGGTGCTGGTTCAGAGCTAGAGCTAGTGCCGGTTCGGAGTTGGTTCGACTGAGGAGCTTTCAAAGAACCGGTTTGTCTTTCCACAGGCTAGAGAGCCATCACAGAGCCAGATCTTATGTCACTGTATACATCTCATGTTGCCCAGCAATGCTAGTGCACACACAAACACACCAGGCTTGTTCGAGATGGTTCGGCACTGTGAATCTCAAACTGCGAGAGCGATCCAAAAGCTCCAAACACTCCCGCAGCTCCGATCAGTCCACGCCGCTCCTCTGCATCTCGAACAAGTCTTCCATCAACAATGGCGGTCGTTGCGTTACTATTTATGCTCATGGCTTTGCAAACCTACATCGGTATCCAAACACGGCGAATCCAGCACGTTCGTGCAGCTCGCCGTAACTTGCATTAACGGAGATTACAATCGAGCTGCTATTAGCATGATTAGCCGCTATTTAAAAAATGGTGGTCACAAGTTTCTGTTCATCTTGTTGGTCACGGTAACCCAGCCCCCAGCCACTGACGTAAGCAGTTCTTACTATCTAGACCAGCAATGATTTGGTGCTACTTAAGAACCACTTTTACTGGTTCGTAGCTGGTGCTTTGGTGATCGAAAAACAAAGAACCGATTTGAAACTAGGCTCTGGCTCTGAACCAGCACCAGCTCTGCCTTGGTGGAAAAGGGGTATCGGTGGAAAACACGGGAAGGCTCACTAACCTGCCACATCAAACTCGATCTCTAGTGTGACCTTATTGGCCAGAGCAGCATCTCGGAGAAGCTGATTGGCCTCTTCCAGCGTTCCATCTTCCGTAGGTATTCCATTGATGGATAAGACTCTGTCTCCAACCTGGAGAAGCCCACACCTGCCAATCAAAATGAGAGAAGTACTTAAAAGCTCTAGAATTATTGGTGGTTTCTTGTTTCCTTCATCCCGCGATTGATTCAGTAAGCCCCTCCCCTTAAACGCAGATGAGCCAATGGCAGTTGAGTATCAGTTGCACGAGGACTGGAACTCAGACTTCTTTAGGTTTTGCGCCATAGAGAAACATTGAAAGACCTGAGGCACTCATGGGTTTGATGGTTTTTGTGCTAAAAAAAAGGGTAAAATTATGTGCCTGGGGAACTTGTAACACTGATTTCAGGTATCCTGAGAGGATGGTGTGGTGGAAAATTTGAAACTGAATATTAAGCTAACCATGTTTTAACATTTGACCTCATTTAACCATCTGAGTATCTGAGACAATGTACTAAGACATTCTGTACTTCAGATGAATGTATGTGTGTCAAACACCTGACTGTGTATAAATAACAAATATGGGAAATTGAACTAGACAGATGACTAACTTAGAAACATTAAAACAAAGTCTCCTCTACCCAGTAACAAAACAGTCTACCTACGAAGAACCAATGAAATTGTCATTATGGCATACCTCCATATTGTATAAAAACTGTTGTATCAGTGTTTTCGGGGGGATTCTCAATGGAATTTGTCTGAGATCCACCGGCCTTGTTTTTACTTGGGAAGTTCTCTGAGTATTGCTCGAGAACTCTCCTGGCTGGCTCGCCAAAATTGTAATGGATTTTTTTCCTTAACCTGACTACTCTACAATAATACTCACTCTAGTTGGCCAAGTCTTATACTTTTACCAGCGCATCTACACATCGACTTCCGCTGAGTCAATAAAACTACCCTATACCCTAGCGCATCTCCAGTCGACGTAGCTTAATATTCAGTTTAAAATGTTCCACCACAATAGCAATGTGGCAATGGAATTTATTTTATTACATTTCTTTAACCCAAACAAGACAGAGCATCCACTGCTTTGGATTAAGCTGTGTGTTAATCCAATGATGTGGGTGCAGTAACCTGGTTCCTTAAGGATTCAAGCCAAAACCCAATCAAGACCAAAACATTCATATTCTGGTTGTCAAACTCTCATTAACTTACAATTAAAGTTAGTGAGTCCATGCTAACATATAAACCTAAATGTACAGACTGATGTACAATTTATGTACAAAATTGATCAAAAACATATATTTATCTTGGGACAAGATTTTCACACTGACAGCTGTCATTGAATGACAGTTAGCAACTCCATTTGTTTGTCCTGGTTTGCAACAGTAACTAAGGGGGGCATGGGCTTACCGATAGGTCAATTGGGCGGTTCTTGGCCAAAATAAGTTGTGAAGTGGACCAGACTTCATGCAAATAGTCACAAGTCTGACTGTACAAATCTAATGTCAATATAAAAAGTTGATTTTATCAAACATGAGCATTTTATCACATGGTTATAAATGCAAGCCCAATGTCACGGTGGGAAGCCGTGTGTGTATGGATGACAACAACTGACCTGACATTCAGTGACTTCCAGGCCAAACACCACAAATGTCACACACTGCCACAATACAATACAGCTCAACACACATCAGATCACTCGCTTCATGGTACAACAATCTCACACTGGGACTGACTCACACGCTGAGCTACAAAAACAAACAGAAACGAATATATATGGTGAGTTTGTTTAGGGTCTCATCCAGTGACATCAAATAAAAGTTTCTTGTGTCGGGTTTGCTGACATTAGAGAGAATGTGTGGATGAAGTTAGCAAAAAAGCTAAAAAAAACACCTTTGTATGAACTTAGTCTCAGATGTTTCTCCTAACATTCCCAGAAAGAGACCTAAATTATTGACATAGAGTAAGAGTTTTAGAGAGATCAATAGTTTAATGAATAAAAAGAAACAAGACCATCATTGTTATACAACAAGAACTTAGAACTATGGTTAGCAAAAGTTAGCAAAGCAGCAGATGTCCTGTAGCAGCTTTGTCTCAGATGCTATCCCCTTTGGACAAATAAAAAGAGACCCAAATTTTGACAGGCAGTAAGAACTTAGCAATATAGTTAGCAAAATGCTAGCAAACGTCAACTTCGTTTAACATCGCCTCAGATTTTTCTTCATTCTGGTAGACAAATAAAAAGTGACCCAATCTTTGATATGCAAGAAGCATTTAGAGCTAACCAAATTGTAGCATAGCAAAACAGCTGAGACGTCTGTGGCAATTTAGTTTCGGATAAATGGATAAAAATAAAAGAGGCCGTGAGACAATTGTTGGCATGCAATAAGAGTTAGACTTGGCCAAATGTTAAAAGTTAGCAAAGAAAACTTATTTTCAGAAATTTCTTATAAAATATTTTTGGACAAATAGTAAGAGACCGAAATGAGACAGGCAAAATGTTAGTAAAAGTTAACAAAGCTGGGGATGTAGCAACTCAGTCTCTTTATTTATTTCGACAGACACAAAGAGACCCAAATGAGACAATTGTTGACATGCAGTCAGAGTTTTGGAGCTATAAAACGAAAGTGGCTAGCATAGAGCAGATAATCTGCTCTCAGAACAATCTGATGAGTACTGATTGAAGACTTTGGTATCTTGGCAAATCCAAGAGCGATTCAAGACATCATTGAGATCTCTTAAGAAACTCTAGGTGTGACGTGAGATTACTGGGGTCATTTTCTCAGGACAAACATCTGAGAAACATACTATAAGCTAGGATCCATTTGCTCTTCATTTAGTATCAAAGCTGTCTAAGAAAACTCATGTTCAGGTGAGATGTTAAAGACGTTCTTTTGTGATTTTTCTTTCCAGTGGACAGAGTTTAGTTTTGGAGACCCATCCTAAACTTTTCGCTACCTTTAACACAAATTGCGACAGTGACACATTCCAGTCTCTTAATATATTAAAAATGAATGCCTCTTTCTTAAACGTTGCTGATAAAAGGCGTGATTTTTGCTGTGTGAGTCTCCTGCTGAGTGTTGACCCAGATTCTGCGGTAATATCAACGCACATCCAGCTTGATCATTTCAAGCGCCTCTCTCCGAGAGAGTGTACCCCGGATCTGTCGTACGGCATAATCTTTAAAAAAATATAGAAGTCTTTACAAAATCTGGTTGCGTTTTTAACAGATCTTCAGTCTGCTGTGGCACCGAATAGTGTTTTATATGTGCATGATTGAGCATGGACATAACGGTTGAGTTAAAGTTTGAGACGTACCTTTCGGCTGAGCTGTCCGGCTCGATGAAGCGTATAAGAGGGGGTGCAGAGAGGGTCTCTGTCGCAAATATTCCACCTTGTAGCTGAACCCCAAACCCATTGAGAGGGTCTCCTCTCAGAGTGACCTCACTGGACTCTGTGTGGACTATCTGACCACCAGGGCCCACAGAACTTGAGGCTAAAGACACGGCTAAAGAGACAGAAATATCACCACAGAAGTATCATTAATGTACTGGATTTAACCCATTAAGGGAGCATTCACAGAACATGTTTTTGTGTTTTTAAAAATACGAGGCACAGGGAAATGGAACAAGAAAAAAAATTGCAAGGTGTAGAGATGCATTTTTTAAAAATTTGAACTACTGTCATGCACGAGACACAAACGCAATGGTCACAAGCTGTTGTTTACGCACCCCCCCCCCCCAAAAAAAAAAAAAAAAAAAAAAAACAATGGAATAGCAGTGCAAAAAAATTAGTTCCATGTGAACAGTCCCTAAAAGTGAAACTATTTCCAAAACCTAGTGAAAAATCTATCCAAGATGGAGGAATGAGGCAAGATGTGATGTTTGTGCTTTTTGTTGCTACCTTAGCAACATGCTAACATTTCTACCAGTAAAACTGTTTTATTGATAGATAAAAACGGATGAAAAGTAGACTAGTTAGACTGAGTTTCTAACAGTGCTTATAGTGTAAGTGTAGGGTGACCAACTGTCCTGTTTTCCCAGGACAAGTCCTGTTTTCAAATAACAATATAACAATTTTCTATCCATACAGAGGAGCCATAACCTACTTTAAATGTATTGAAATAAATAAGGTATCTTTGAGTAAACTTCGAGTATCATTTGAGTAGGCCCATCTGTTTGCCGGGCCGAGTGTCCTGGTTTTTGGTAATCAAAATATGGTCACCCCAAGTTAAGTAAAAAGTTGAATTGACACATAAAACATAGTTAAACTAATTAAAAACACAAATTAGCCAATATTATGCTACGTTGCCTAACATTGCATATGGTGCATTCAAATCCTTCAGGGAAGTTTGTATTTGTAGTTGGGAGGTTGTAATTACGATGTCAGACTTTTTCTACAAAAAAAGCAGCAAGATTTTTTAAATACAATATGATGAATTAAGAATGCTCATCAGGTATTTTTGTTTTTTATGTTTTTATTCAATTTATGAAGGTGCTGACCATCTTTTGTTCTATTATATCTTGTGCATGCAACTTAACTGTTTCTTTACAGACACGACGCTAACTCATAGGCTCGCTCAAAGAAAATCCTGAGTTTCCCCACATTTTTTTGTGGCATTCATCATGTGTGTTTAACCTGTAAATACGACATGACTCGAATGCACTATTATACTATTGTGTAGTTAGCTTAGCAACATGCTAACTCTATTTTAATCAGTCAGATGTATAGTCTGAATGAAAAGCCATTTAAAAACCTACATAGAGCATTACAAATCAGTCATTAAGATATAATTTAGTTAGTTACTATATGCTGTCTTAGACCATTTCAAGCAGAAAACATCACAACTTTAAAACCGATCCAGTCACCTACAGGAGCTCTTGTGCTCTTTTTTCCTCTGTCTCCTCTTTAGCATGGAGTTGCGCGGGCTCATGGGAGGAGCGGCTCGGGGCAGCGTGCTGGAACCCTGGCTGGTCATGCCCGATGTGGTGGTGGACCCGGGAGAGAAGTTAGTGCAGACTATAGCTAGGGAGAAGAGAGTAGAAAACAGAGAGAAACTTAAGCAGTGTAACTGTATTTTTAAAAAAAATTAAATCAAAGAGATGGCAATGGTCCAATTGACTGAGTGGCTTACAGGTTAATGATCCACATTCTATTGGTCCCTTGCTAGTCTTTGCAGATCTATCCACTCCTCTATGCATTTGTTTTTTAAGGAGATGTTATATTCGATTTGGAGGCAACCACTGGGAGTTGGACGTCTGGGTTAAGACCAATTTTCCATATTAACGTAATGCCATTTTACATGTAAAAGAAGATGGATGATAGAGAAATAGATTTCATGAAGAAAATGTGAAAACTAAATCATGACTGATTTGGTGCAGGAAACTTACAGCAAAAAAAAAAAAAAAAACACTACAAAATTGTGCCATCACATTAGCGAGATTTTCATTGTCTATAGTCAATAGTGTAGCGAATTGCCAAGCATCTTTCCTTCGGTCAATGTGGCAAATTAGAGGTGTGTGACCAATTTAATCGAATGGGATAGAAGCCAAATTAAAAAATCAAATTACACTTAAAATAAAATTTGGAGTATTGTTACCGCGTTTGAAAATACAAATTTTAAAAAGGGGATAACTGTAACTTTCCAAATGATTTATTGTGTTTACATTTGCAGTAATCCTGAGAGCTGGAGGGGTTACTGGAAGCAGAGGTCCATGTCGATGTCTTGCAGTGACCAGGATGTTGAGAATGGCAGTAGTTCACACAGGGGTCCCAGCAGTGCGGGTGGTCACTTTTCTGAACTTTCACTAAAACACAAAATGAATGACTAAATTGAGTTGAGAAATCAATTACACGCTTCTCAGAATAAATAATGACAAAATGGTTAAAAAACGTTTTTATATAGATATGCAACTTTATGTACTCCAACTATGTGGCGTGCTTTAAATATTGTTCTCATTAATACTCGTTTGAACACTGAAATCCATCATTTGGAGTCTTGAGGGTCCGTTTAAGTCGCATTATCCCTCTCTAATACTGGTCTGTGGAAAATGAATGTGCACGCAAAACAATGAGAAAGCTCATTAGCAAACAGGCTAATGAAGTCCTGCTGCTAGAGGCAGGCCGTATAATTGAGTGCCTCTGTTTGGGCTTGTTCTCATTTGTTCTGCAGGACTGCAGTATCTCCAAGCTCTTATAATGCAGTAAGTCTGACGGTAGCAGAAGACTGAATTTAAAAGATAGTATAATTCATTTGATAAATTAATCCAGCACACTTGAATAAATAATTTATTAGAGAGCAGTGGTTTTGGACCCAGATTCTGGACATCAAGTGATGACCAAATGCAGAATTCAAATTGTTTATCACACAAAATTTATAAAAAAATGTGCAGGAAAAAAAATACATTTTAAAAGTATTAATATTACCATACACTGCGAAAGCCTACCAATTGGCAACAGTATTAATAAAACATAGCCTTAATATTATAATTGTAAATATGACAGCCTCACAAGTACAAAGATGGCACTGCTCTAAAAAAAAAGGTCTGTATCTTGTAATTGGGACTTTATTTCTCACAATGGGAATTTATTTCTAAAAATTGCGACTATATCAAAATTGTGACAGCATTTCTTGTAATTGTGACTATCTTGTACTTGTGCCTTTTTTCTCATAATTGCAACTTAATTTGACAAAATTTGACTTTATTTTTTCATAATTGTGACTATAACCGAAACTTAATTATGAGGTTGTTGTCATTAGATGGTGCGCAATCTTGCTATAACTAGTAAATGTGATTTTATATCTCATAATTGTAACTATTTCCCATAATTGATTCCTATTCTTGTAACAGGGACTTTATTTCTCACAATTGCGACTATATATCTCATAATTGTGACTTATTTTCTCATAAGTGAGATTTTTATTTCTCATAATTGCAACTATATCTCATAAATGTGACTTAATCATAATGTGATTATGGGCGCTGTCATACACCCGGCAAAATGCAGGGCCAGGCTAGTGTTTCTTGCTAGTTTCAGCCTGACGCAGTTATCATTTTCACGTCCAGCGGCATGTTGTTTAAATTGCAAATGCAGTTGCGCCCATTTGTGCGCCAATGGGCTGCTGGTCTGAAAGCGAGGTGTGTTCAGGCGCATTGTCGGTGCTATTTTAAGGCAACTGAAGTAGACTGCGCCATTGACCAACTGAAACCTGGTCTAAAGTCAATGGTGCAGTATTTTTTTGTTATTTAAAAAGGGCTTTAGTAATATGTGCGCCTATAGATGGGTCCAACACTCTGCTTATTAAACACATAGGGACACGCAGCAGAACACAAACATGCCAAATATTAAAAATAAAAGGATTACAATATAAAAGACTATTATTGTGTAGATAAAGATATGGTGGAATCCATCTTGTCCCGTAGATGGTCTGCTTGCTTTAACCTTGCACACGAGCAGATCCGTTTCTTCGCTAGAGAAGCGTTCAGTCTTTCCGCTTGCAAATTCTGCCATGTAAATAGCGAATCCGCCATGGTAATTGTAACTATATCTCTTAAATGTGACTGTCGTAATTGTGACTATATCTCATAAATGTGACTATCGTAATTTCACTATATCTCATAAATGTGACTATTGTAATTGCGACTTTATCTCATTAATGTGACTATTGTAATTGTGACTATATCTCATAAATGTAACTATTGTAATTGCGACTATATCACATAAATGTGACTGTCGTAATTGTGACTATATCTCATAAATGTGACTATTGTTATTGTGACAATATCTCATAAATGTAACTATTGTAATTGCGACTATATCTCATAAATGTGACTGTAGTAATTGTGACTTTATCTCATAAATTTGACTATTGTAATTGTGACTATATCTCATAAATGTGGCAATTGTGAATGTGACAATATCTCATAAATGTGACTATTGTGATTGTGACTCTATCTCATAAATGTGACTGTCGTAATTGTGACTATATCTCATAAATGTGACTTGTAATTGCGACTATATCTCATAAATGTGACTGTCGTAATTATGACTATATCTCATAAATGTGACTATTGTAATTGTGACTATATCTCATAAATGTGACTATTGTAATTGTGCCTATATCTCATAAATGTGACTGTCGTAATTGTGAATGATCTTATGATTACGACTTGTAACTGTGACTTAATTTCTCTTTTTTTGCTCATTTGTACATTATGTCTTGTATTAATTCTACTATATCTCATAAGAAATTGTGATTTCTCACAATTGCACTTTTATTTCTCATAACCAGCGACTACTGTTATTTTAAACCATCTTTTTTAAAACCATTTTCTCTGAAGTGGAAAAAAGTACATCAAATGCATTCTACATATTCTAAATGTATTCTATAGAATACATAACTATACATAAACATGCATAAAATACAAACCCTCTACAGATAATAATTTAGATATTTGAACTTATATCCGAACCTAACATGCTTAGTTTATTTTCCCTGCTGGAATTGTGCTTTTGAATATGGTAGCTGGTTTCTAGCTGGCCAAAGTTGGTCATTCCTTGGTTGACCAGCCACCATATTACAAAAATCAATCTTACCACCTTAAGCCTGTACGTCTAGCAGGCAACTGGTTTGTTCGTCCAAGGTGGTCTACCATTCTGAACCACAGAAACCAGCTACCATGTTCCAAAACACAGTACCAACTTGAGATGGATTTTCCAGCAGGGTATTAATGATGTGAAACGCCCAAACTAAATTATATGACATTCATCAACTTAACTTTAACTTAGCTCCATGTCCTCCACTTCTGGAAAACCATAAGAAGCTTTAAAACGCTTGGGGGGAAATGTGTGTATTTGTGTGTGTGGTAACACATTAAGGTTTTAACAAAGTCTACTCACTACTTTTAATCTTTAGTACGTTACTAAACAACCATCATCTACTGAACACGCAACACTACTTATTAGCATTATGTTTGTATTTGTTGCCACACAGGATGTGATGACGAGACACTAAGCAATGGCACTTTCAGACAGATTTTCACAAGCTAGGTTAAATACTACTATCTGTTCGTCTGAGCACCAATGAAGCATCTTCTAACGTTTGAGAGCTAAATCCCTCTCGCTTGTGGCTTATGCTAAGCTCGTCTGCTATGTCTTGAAGAAACACAACTCTGTCTTTTGATGTGGGAATTGAGAACACCAGGAATGGTGACGGTAAAGTCTCCCACACAGGCTGATGTGACGGGAGCTTAATTCGAGTAAGGAGATTACAATACTGCTTTTTTAAGAGCACGTCATTTTTCTAAAACACGAATTGAACCAGCAGGTGACTGGTCTTGAGGTTATTAGCAGTGGCTTGGGCTAATTTGTTATTAGATTCGGTGTAGTTCATTTCTGTATTGCAAAATAGAGACACATTATGCAAGTGAATAATCTAAAAATGATCTAAATGTTGCTGTCTTCTATCCAAAGTGGGATGTGCAGTACCATCATGGGTCAATAACATAATGCTTTTCTTTTTTTCAGATCTACACTATAAAAAAAAGTCACCTGAAATGTTTTGAGTACAATCAACTTGGATGTTTAAGTAATTTTAACTTAAATTACATTAAACTGACTCGTTGAACTAAAAACAATAAAACTGCTTAACTTATATATATATATATATATATATATATATATATATATATATATTTTAACAGTGTAGTATTAAAAATACATAGAAAAAGAAATCCCTAAGACTTTAAAGTAAAATTAATTTTAGATAAATTGGGGAATAAAATCAAAAATACATGTGAAAATGAAGGGGGAAAAAAAGACTAATTGAGTTTGTTCAAATAATGTAAATATTGGGAAAAAGTTTGTCCACCAAATCATGTGACGCAACCGACATGGAAACATAAAGGAGAGGGAAAAAACATAAAATAGGAAATTATGTCATAGAGAGGTCAATAGTTTTTTTTCATAATTTGAACATTGTATGTCAAGGAAAAGTCAGTTTAGTTAAATAAACTGAAAAATTATATATATTAAAATGTTGTTTATTTCTACTACACCACATTAAATTCAAATGTGAGCTTTTTTGTTTTGTCTTTTCAAAATGAAACAAATCTTAATACTAATATTACATTTGTAAGATCTTGTCATGTGTTTTAAACTAGATTTTTCAGATCATAATGCACACTAAATGACAAGCATAAATCTGATTGGCTAACTTCCACCATATAAAACATAATATCACTGTTGCTTTGGAAATACCAAATATGCATATCTATTAAGATCTCAAAGACCACAATCCCAAACGAGCTGGTAACCAGACATACTTTATTTTCTTCCCCTAACAAGGTCAACTATAATATTTGCATATGGAAAATGAGAATTCAAAATGTAGGAGTCATTTGGCAAAATATCAAACTCCATTAATTTCCTGGGCGAAGTTTCTATGACATTTCGACATGGGCCCAGCGAGTGGGTGTACAATTCTTGATTGAAGTCATGCCGGGGCTGATGGTTCACAAACGCAAATATATTTTCCCATCATTATAGCCTTCCACCTCCTCTCTCGGGTTCTCAGCGCGGCAGGGAATGACCTATATAGGGTCAGATCAGATGCTGAAAAACTAAACCACTTTACTTGTCCATATCCGTTAGGGACGTTTGTACCTGTGCCCAAAAATCTGGACGCCAAGGCTGTCCAGGCATCATAAACTCTGTTTTGTGATGTATGCAAGCAATGTATCAATTCAAGAGGCCATCTTGGAGCTTTAGCAGCCGTAATTAAAGGGATATTTCACTTTAAAATTAAGTTTTGGTATGTTTTAGCTTACCTCAAGGGCATCCAAGATGTAGGTGTCTTTGTTTTCACAGTAGTTTCAATTTTGATATTTTTAGGTCAAACCGTTCTTGTCTTTCATTCATATAATGGAGGTCTATGGTCACCACCTCAAAGAACATGGACAGAGAAGTCCAGATTAAACATGATTTAATGACTCGTAAATGTACAGTAAGTACACATTGATGGCCTAAGAAACGAAACGAACAGTATTTATATTGTTTTACCTCTTGTAACCACAGCCACGTTCAAGTGATCTGAGGGCGCAGGCGCTTTGTGGCTGTGTATGTAAATACTGTCTGTTTTCTTACACAAACCGCTCATTTCGTGTCTTAGGCCATCGATGTGTACTTACATTTACGAGTCATTAAATCATGTTTAATTTGGACTTCTCTGTGCATGCTCTTTGAGGTGGTGACCATAGACCTCCATTATATGACAGACAGACAAGAACGGTTTGACCTAAAAATATTGGATGCCCTTGAGGTAAGCTAAAACATACCAACAATTAATTTCAGAGTGAACTACCCATTTAAATGCTAAGCAGCAGAAACATGGCGGCAGACGTGGGGCAAGGATTGGACTAGATTGAAATCGATGGGCATCTAAGGTTCTGGATGATTGGAGAACCAGAAGTAGCAAGAACTTCAAAGTCAAAATAACCATTTGAAGTTTCAACGTCTTCTATAATTGGACCAATCATTGGTTTGCATCCAATAAAGTCCTGCTATTACATAATATGTTTATACGCTCTATGATAATACGCTATTGATTCGATTCTCAGAGGATCTCATGCATGCTGTAAAAGCGTATACTAATTCAGGCTTTTAACTCAACGTGGTCTGCATCATTAGACATCTGTTCACCTCCTGAATTTGCAAATAAACGGGGCTGAAACGAACTTCGTCCACTGCGTCTCGGTTTATTATCGGGCCGCAGCCTGTTGGTTTTCGAGGGTGAGCAGGTCCCCGTGATTAAATCTGTCCTGCAGTCTAAAACTCGTGGGGCGACATCAAGCAGAGCCAGAAGCTAATTAAACCAGATGACGGCAGATGAGATGACAGAGCAGTCTCGGCATCCACGCTTTCTCGTCCTCATTTGGGCATCCGAAGAGGATACATGTGAAGTTTATATCGCTATAATTAGCAAGAAAATGTTTGTGACCTCCTTTGAAATAAACAGAGAAAGAGTTGCCGTAAGCCTTGTTAAAAAAGCACTGTGGTTCAATGTGAAGGTTTTGAATGATTACCGTGATCAAATACCATTACATTTTCATGATGATTAAAATCAACCCTTAAACACATACCTCGGGTCTTTAGTGACCCGGGACGTCATTCGCTACCCTTCTCCTTATTCATTTTTTAAAGTTGGACCTTATTCTTCTTAGAGTAGGTATATTTTTTCTGCACAACAATGATTGAATTTTTGATGACTGAATAAGTGCAGTTCACCTTTATGCCTCAAGGTGGTTGAAAATGGTTTCGATAATATGTTTGAGATGGCGAACATGAGCCAGATGCTGAATGTACTGGGAAATGAGCTCTGATGAGGACAGTGATGATGGTGTGAAACATCTGCTCAAACTGAACCCTTCCAAGCTCCAGAAGAGAACAAAATATACTTTATTTTATTATCCTTGTTATTCTAATATCAGGAGTATTTCATATTGTTCTGGGTCACTAAAGACCTGATTAATGATTGGTAAAACATTCAAGCGTTTAAGGGTTAAATATAATAAATATTTGCAAAATGATAAATAAGACTGCCCGAGGATAAAGAAAGGTATTTTTTTTAATTTATAGTTTCTTATGGTTTTGACAATGTCAAATAAATAATTGTCATTTATTTGTTTTAAATTTTCTCATGTTGTGCAACCAAACAAAAATAATAAAAACAAATGTACACCTTGTAATCTTAATCATTATTTTCCACCAAAAAAGAATTTCACTAATGGCTTGACTTTGATTTGGTGGACAAAATTTTTGCAGTGTTTATAATATTTTATAACTATTTCTTTTTATTTCTATTTCTATGAAGGACTAAAAATGACAAAATGAATATATATATATATATATATATATATATATATATAAACTGTATTTAAATACATAAATCTAGAAATAAATACATGTAAAATACAGATATAGCCATTTATATTACCAAAATATATTTCTGCATTTTTTATTTATTTATACTTTTATTTATTTATTTATTTATTTTTCCTTTTGTCATTTTTAGTCCTTCATATATTTCATCATATCAAATATATATTAATAATTAATTTGCTAAATGTCTGACTCAGATAAAGCAGTAAAAAGATTTAAATATGTATGTTCCAAATCAAACCGTATATATTTATGGTTTCTTATGTTTTAGTAAAAAAATGTTTTTACAACTTAAATGACTCTTAAAATATCATGTGGTGTAAAAAGTAACGAACCATTTTTTTATACAACAAAAAGTAATCCTAATGTTTTTTTTATTATCATTTGTTAAATATCACTGCCTTTTAATTACATGCCTGTACCACATGATATTTCACAATCAGCCATGATTTTGCTTTGGTGTACGAAAGTTTCTGAATGTTTATAATATTTTTATATTTTATATAATATTTTTTTTTACATTTTAATCATATTAAATATGTTTTCTTACAGAAGACAGAAGTTTATTACAGAAGACATGTACGATTATAATTTGTTTTCAAGTGCTGTGTCATTGGCCCATGTGTTACACTCTCAGACAGTTTTCCAGACACAGTTAAGGCCTGTTCCAAGATCAGATTTAGCCATCTGTTGAAGACACCTCTGATTAAGCCTAATCCATGTCTGGAAAACCGCACCACATTCCTCATTTTGTTCCCCCTTCTCTCACCAGTGTCCTGGGGTTTTCCGGGCAGGCGTGTTTGGTGCGCGGGTAGGATCTCTAGTTTGGTCTGATCAGAAGTGCTGGCCAGCAGCTGCGTTGCCTCCAGGAGCGAGCAGTGCTCTGTGCTGGTGCCGTCTATAGACAGAATATGATCACCCACATGTAACGCTCCTGACCTGAGAGGCAAACAGAGAACTGCTAGAACTGTCATAGATGTGGGAAGTGTCAGAGACAACAGTAAAACAAATCTGAATGACCTTATTCATAATGTGTCACAATATGGATGGACGTTAAATATATAGCGAATTAGGTTTCTGGAATCAATACTGTGGGAATAGTGTTTGTGGGAAAACAGTAAAAACGAGTTTTACGATTAATTATCATAAGAATGAGTTGTACCATAAAAATTAAGTAGAAATAAAATCCTTCACGTAAGAACGGTTTTACAAACAATTTATGTAGGGAGATTAAAAACATTTACATAAAATTGGATTTGTTAACAATTTAGGGAAAAAGTAAATCATTTGCGGAAGAAGGTTTTAACAAATAATTTACATGAAAAGTAATACAGTTATGTAAAAAGAGTTTTATGATCAATTTACATAAAAATAAATGTCAGTTTTGAAATTTTTTTAGACAAATGAAATCCTTTACGTAAGAATGGTATTACAAACAATTTATGTAGGAAGATTTAAAAAAAAAAATACATAAAATTGGCTTTGTTCAAAATTTTGATAAAAAAGTATGTTTGTACAAACAATTTAGGTAAAAATATATTTACAAAAAAGTTTTACGATCAGTTTGCAAAAAATAATAAAATCAGTTGTGCACTAAAATGGTTTGACAGAAATAAAATGCTTTACGAAACGTTGCATGTAGAAAGATTCACATAAAAATGGCTTTGTGAACAATTCAGCTGCTAAAAAGCATACATTTGAAGAATTTATATGAAAAAAATATACATCATTTTTTTCTGAAACCATTTTTATCCAAATGATATTATTTTTATGTAAGAAAAGATAAAATAATATACAGATAATGTTTATAAACAAGGTTTTTCTATGTAAAGATAGTAGTTCAACATACAATTTATGCTGGAATTTTTTTCCTCAAACAATTTATGTAAGAAAAAGAAAAAGTGGTGTTACAATTGACACATAAAGTTGTAGTGCTCGTGTGTGATGAATGAGGCCCATTGAGTGTGTACCTGTCCACCACGCTCGCGGACCTGATCTTGTCGATGACGATGGCCTGTTTGTTCCTGTGTATGGCGGTGGTCAGAGTGATTCCCAGACTCGCTCCGGGCGCCTTGGCAATCTCCACCAGCAGAGGGCCGGAAGCGTTGGTCACTGAGTCTGGAAGCCCGGAGATAAGGACAAACAATGATAGCATGGTTGCGGAGTGGTTTAGCTCTGGTTTCTTAACAGATCGCTTTTGCAGCTTAAAGTAAATAAAGAGTCGTTTTGGACTGGGCAGGAAGTTCTGCGCTCTGAAAGTTTATTTCAAAGATATGATCCCTTTAACTCTTCGAGGAGAACAACAGTGGGCGTTATGCTAATTGTTAGCCTTCACCGCATTAGTACAGTTAAGGGGTTCAGTCTCTGCCTCTTGCAGGTCAACTGCTGTTCATCGAGATAGAGAAGTAGAAGAGCTCTCTGGAGAGAAACTGAGTTCTTCTGGAAAACGTCTGTGAAAGGACAAGTGCTCCTATTATCCTGTTTTAAAGGTTCCTAATTTAGTTTCAAAGGTCTCCTACAATCGATTTACATGCATCCAAGGTCATAACAGCTTACCTCACTTCTCACAGTGTCTGATAGTGTAAGTCTGCTGTGATTGGTCTACTCTGTTCTGATTGGTCAGATGGCTCAGCCTGTTGTGATTGGTCTACTCTGCCCTGATTGGTCAGATGGCCCAGTCTGTTGTGACTGGTCTACTCTGCTCTGATTGGTCAGATGGCCCAGGCTGTTGTGATTGGTCTACTCTGCTCTGATTGGTCAGATGGCTCAGTCTGCTTTGATTGGTACAGTTTACAGAATGTGACTCAAACAAAGCACCCATTAACATATCTGAATTTCAGCTCTTCCTCAGCACTTGTGATACAAATAGTGATACAGTAACGATGGTGTCGGTTTTACTGTATCAATTTGAGTCCGAGTCCTCATAGTCTGGAGGTGCATGTAAAGTGGAGTTGTTTTCGTAGTGCAGAAAACAGTATCTTCTCGACATTTCGACAACACAAACCAAACTCCCAGTCTCTGCTACAACTACAGTGTTTGAGGGTCAAAGTAAATGTTGTTCGCAGGCAGCCAATGAAGACTCTAAGGCAGTCTGCAAGCTCTAATCTGTTAACATGGGAGCGTAAATATAAACGGACACGCCACGCAGCCAGTGTGTCACAGGCCACTCTGTGCCACCGTATAACTATAGATGTGTTAAAAATACTGAGAATATAGATACATGTATATCCGAGTCCTGATCGGGAGGTAGCATCCGATTCCGATCGAGTCTGAAACCACGTGATAGGGCCGATTTCCGATCACGTGATTGGATCGGGACATCTCTACTAATAACAATTGAATCCACCGGGACATGTTGAATATTCATCATGGCCACATATAAAACAAGCACAATTGAATTAACTCACCCATGATGGAGACATCGTACTCGATCTGGAAAAGGCCTTCCTGTCCACACTGGGTCAGTACAGTTAGGGCTTCGCTGTGAGTGGCACTGTGTAAAACCACTCCATCCACACTTAAGATGCGGTCACCTGCTTTTAGAGTCCCTTCTCTGCAGGAGAACACATGAGGAACATTCACAAATGATTACCAAATTAAAAGTATGACATATACAGTAACATTTAAAAGTATTTTTAAACGTATTGTCAATTGTTAGTTCAACTAATGCTTAAGCTTTTAAACACATTTTTTTTATTATTATTATTTTTCGGCATTTAGTGCATTGTTAAATTTTAAAAAAAGAAAAAAAAGTTGCGAGTGATTCCAATGTTAGCATAAGGTTGATGCCTTAAAATTATGCCAACACAGCTGACTTTTTGAGTTTCTTTACAAGTCTCTCGATATTCCACAATAATGATTAATGCTACATGTGAGAGGACCTGTTTGAGAGCACAATATTTTCCACATGAAATGTCTGGGGGGCTTCAGGTTAGATAATGCATACAATTTCCACACGTTAGCCAAGGCAGTATTTGTCTCTAACATCAAAGGTGTCTTATGGATGATATTTTCTCTCAAGACACATAGTTATTTATCCCTTTTGGCGGGTTGCATTTTTCTGATATAAGTAGGGAAAAGAGCTTGAGAAGAAAATCAGGAACATCCTAAAACTATGAATATTAAACTAGCCATCTAAGATGAGAAAGAAATCTCTGGCCTACTTTCTGGATTTGGTTAAATTGCAAAATAGTGTGTCCAGACATGGAAGAGGACTACAGTTTTTTGTTAAATATAGTTAACACATGAAGAGTTCAGATGCAAAATCCTCTAAGTGCCATTTGAAATTTTCTTCTAAAATGATCATTTTTATCAAGCTTGTATATTTAAGTTGAGTAATTTCACATAAATGGCAATGAAGATTACCTATTAATTGTCATTTAAGTGAAAATACTGAACTTAAATATACAAGCTTGATAAAAATGGTCATTTTAGAAGAACATTTCAAATGGCATTTAGAGGCTTTTGCATCTGAACTCTTCACATATAAAAGTTTTACACCAAAAAATGAATAGTACCTGGTAAATATGCTTTAATAGTTTCTTTATTCTAAACATGGTGGGCAGCGCCTCATAATGGCGGCCATTTTGAGATCACATGACCTGGAAAATTCTATTAAAGCCAAGTTCACACTACAGGATTTTAAGTCCGATTTAAGCCCGATTTACAAATCGTTGAGCTCGCCGAGCTCGGTCAGGATGTTATCACGTGTAAATCGCGAGGGATTAGCGGGCGATGAACGCTCACCAATCTGTTAGTATGAAAGAGATTTGTGTATTTTGTCATAAATACGTAATACGTTAATTAATGGTTTTTAATTCTATCTGTCATCCCATGAAGCAACTCATGGTCAATATTTAAACATTTCTCTTTTGTTGTTTTCAGTAAACATGCTAATTGATTAGCATGCTATGCTAACATTGTGTCCTGCATTAACATGCTAATCAATTAGCCTACTAAGCTAACTTATCCAAGGCAAGTTACTTCACATAATCATATAAAAACTTTGATTATGTGTTGTGTAAAATGCATCTTGAAATGCCTAGTTTTCCACAACATAAAGATACATCATTATAGACAGGTATTATATTCAATGTAACCCTATCCACACAAGCTACTGAAATATATTTACTTTATATAAAGGACTACTCCATGTAAAAAGTGCCTTAAAAGCTTATTTTTTGGTTACCTGTCGGCAGGACCACCTGGTCGGACATGTGTGACCACCAATGGGCGAGATTTGTGCCAGTCCTCATGGGATCCACCTGTATTATAACATGTACAAATCTGTAACCTGCCATTGAATCTGCAACATTTTATTCTCAAGAATATGAACCCACCTCGCATAACAAAGCCGAAGCTGTTGCCCTCTTTCTGCAAACAGATCTCGATTGTCTTGGAAATAACACCTGAGGTACTGTCTGGCGCTAAGAGGGACAACAGAGACAGGAGAGAGGCAATAGCATCTCTAAATCAGCACCTTTTACTGGGCGAATGGCCAGATCAGGGGGACAATCGGATAAATAAGGCCAGATGCAAACTGACATTCAGCAGAAGGTCAGCCAGAAACACTGAGCTTATAAACCAGACAATTTATCTGTCATGCGCAAGATAGATAGACTGGCTATCTATCACAATATATCATCACACATGAAACTGAGACAATATAGCAAGGGTTGGCAAATAGTCGGCATAAAATGTTGGCATATTTTGCAACATGTATTTGAATTAAAAAGTTTGTTTACAAGGTTGATGAACACTTGTGTTTATAAACACAAAACCGTTTTCAACTAAAAAAAATCGAAAGAATCGACCACCCAATCTTATACTTAAAGATGTCTTTGCATGATAAGGTGATAATATGAGAGAATATTTTCATCAACATCAAAAAATGCTTTCAACATGCGGCCATGCAGTCTGCATTACTTTGTATAATTATATCACACAACCTGAAGTGCACTTCCATTTTGGCTACATACTAACGCAAAACAAACATTTTCATGATTATATTTATGAGGTCAGGGATTGGTTCAGACCAGGGTTAAATTGGGGACATGCCACAACACAGGCAAAAGTCAGAATACTCAACTTCCTACCAGTTGAAGGCAGTTCATACTCCACTTCCAGCACAACGCGCTCGCCTACGTTCTTTAGCAGACTGATGATCTCGTCGTGACGCAGCTTGGTCAGGTTGATGCCATTGACTGACTTGATGTAGTCTCCCACATTGAGTTGATCACTCCTGAGACACATCAAATAATCACAGAATAGTACTTAGGAGGATTATGGGTTTGTTGAAATCCCTAATTGTAATATTAGCAATAGTAAGACTTGCCTTAGCAAACATCACAGTTTTGTATTGTAATTACTGAATATTTTTTAATTAATTAACAGTTTAACTAATACCTGCAAACATTTTGACACACCATATTTAGTTTAACACCGTAAACGTTGGCTTTTCAAACATTTGCCTTAATTAGCTTTGTTAGCATTGAACAGTCAATGCAGAGAAATTAACAAGATTACGTCTGACGGTCTAGAGAAACTTTCCGTCAATGGTCACAAAAACAGAAAATTAATTTTGAATGGAAAGTAAATGCAAAGTAAGAACTCCTTATCTGTTGTTGAACACTCCACAGGGAGTATAAATATTCTCATTTAGATGCTAATTAGACAAATGAATGCTATTCATTCCCTTTGTCCTCTGGGCGTACATGAGTGTGCCCAATGATGCCTGACAAAAATGTGTCATCAGCCCAGACATGCTCCATAACATCCTCATGTAGCACGAGCATCCGACACATCCCTGAAATGAGTTAAATCACTTGTGAGTATGGGGGAAAAGAAATGTGTTGCCAATTTATCGCATCACATCTACCCATGTATGTGAATAAGGCTTCTAGCTACACGCTCGATTTATGCACTGCTGTGTTTCGAAATGTGTCCGAATGTTAGTCATAATGCAACACAAGTAGGCTACATTGTAGAAATTGGCTGCTTCTCTGGTAAGTTTTCTCTTTTTAGTCAACTAATGTAATGGCAGAACAACAGTTTGAATCTTGCTGAGCAACCCAGATAGCAAACTGACATTGAATCAACGTGGAAACGACGTCTCTCATGACATTGGAACAACGTTGATTTGCTCATCGAATTAACATTGAACCAACGTCAGACGCAGCATTCTTCAAAGCTAAATGAAAATCGAAAATTGGTTTGCTTTCATAACGTTGAAACAACGCGTTGATTTCAAGTTGATTTTCCGTTAGTTTTGAAAGAATGACGCGTCTGACGTTGGTTCAACGTTAATTCGATGAGCAAAACAATGTCGGATCAACGTTGTTTCAATGTCATATTTCCACGTTGATTCAATGTCAGTTTGCTATCTGGGAAGTTACATAAAGCTAGCTAAATTACTGCTATTTTTAACTTATAGCTAGCTTCCTGTTTCATAGCCATTCTATCGAACATTTGAGTATTGATGCTATTGCCAAAATAAGACAAAAATGCTAACGCTAAACACTAATGTTAAGTATAATAACACCACATGTTGCTTCATTAGCGAGCATTAGCATTGATTAGCTGCTTCTAAGGTCAGTTTTTTGTTTTTCAGGTCAACTATAGCAGAACAATAGTTTGAATCTGGCTGTGCAAGTTACATAAAGCTAGCTAAATTACTGCTATGTTTAACTTTACTAGATCCTGTTTCATAGCCTAATTTGAAAGTAATTCTATCGAACATTTGAGCATTGATGCTTACTGCCACAATAAGACAAAAATGCTAACGCTAAACACTAATGTTAAGTATAACAACACATGTTGCTTCATTAGCAAGCATTAGCATTGATTAGCTGCTTCTAAGGTCAGTTTTTTGTTTTTCAGGTCAACTATAGCAGAACAATAGTTTGAATCTGGCTGAGCAAGTTACATAAAGCTAGCTAAATTACTGCTATGTTTAACTTAGCTAGATCCTGTTTCATAGCCTAATTTGAAAGTAATTCTATTTGAGCATTGATGCTTACTGCCACAATAAGACAAAAATGCTAACGCTAAACACTAATGTTAAGTATAACAACACAATTACAGGTTGCTACATTAGCAAGCATCAGCATTGATTATCTGCTTCTAAGGCCAGTTTTCTTTTTCAGGTTAACTATGGCAGAACATCAGATTGAATCATGCTGTAAACTAGCTAAATTCGGTTAAACTGTTGATATGTTTAAATTGTAGTTAGCTACATAAATTAATCCTGACTTAACCGTTAGCCTTACAGTTTGCTCTAGAAAATATAAGATTGGATATGTATGCTATGAGAATATGTGTGACTTTTGAAAGTTGTGTCCATAAAATCAAACAATGTGAAAATAAAATTAAGTAACTAACTAATTAACTACACACTTAAGTTGCATCGTTACATTCCGAAATGCGTCAAAATGCATGTTGTGACGCAACATGTTGCCACATTGGTGAGCTTCAGCATGAATTAGCTTCTTTCATGATCAGTTTCTCTTAGCTACATATTAGATCAATTCAATTAGAAAAAAAGAGAAGAAGATTGCAACAAAATTCTATTTTAGGTTGTGGCACATCGAATTTCACACTTAAATTACACTGCCGCATTCTCGGACATCCCAACCTGCAAGAATTCATTTCAGGGAGGTATATCTCAGGAGATTTTAAGGGCATCGAGGAGACGCTATCAATGTGCGGGAGACTCCCGGAACTTCCGGGAGACTTGGGTTGTCTGCATTCTGAAATGTGTCAAAACGCAAGTTGTAACAAACACAAGAGCATGTCACATTAGTGAGCATTAGCACACTTAAATTGCAAGAGCAAACTGCAACCTAACCTATTTTGCTAGGCATGGTGTTTTTCTGAGTCAGGTGATCACTTTGTCATTGGCTGATAATGTTATTACCCATGTCTGTGTTATTTTCTGAAAGGTTGCATTAACTTCAGATCTAGTCCTCACCTCGCCGCAAGTCCACCTGGCCGCAGGTTGGAGACCCGTGGTTTACCGTCTTTATCTGTGCCGCCCGAGATGGTGAGACCCAAAGTGCTTCCTTCTCTCTTAATCAGCTCAACCAGTGTAACCCCACGCAGTTCTTCTGCCCAGAAATACACACAAACACACACACGAACACACACACAAAAAAGAGAGAGAGACAGAGTCAGCACTGATGGCAACAGGCAACATGGTTTTATGACACTAAATCTCTTGGATATGCAAATGAGCTGTGTTTCTCCCATCTAACTAACGATGAGAAATTTTATGAATTCTCAATATTACAAAATGCCCTAGATTGTTTTAAAATGTTACACCACAACTAACTTGCACTAATCTTTAGCTCATGCTGTGACTTTATGAATTCTTAAACAGACAATCCAAACCAAGAGACAGATGAAAGAAAACATCTATCAAACACCAGTATTGCAGCAGAAATTGTAATGCTACACTTTTGAATCCAACCGTGTTATGAAATCTCTCACAGAGCCTAATCTAATCAGTGTCTGTGTGGGTTTAAATGTGAACAGATTGAAACGAGAAAGTTTTCCACAAGTAAAAATGTAATGGATGATTGCACACAGCTCCATCTTTTGAAACTATGATAATGATTCCTATCATATCAGTCTTGATATAGCCTTAATCTGACATTTTGGTAAACATTTTTTTTTATGAAACCTCTGTAAACATTTTATTATGTTATACAATTTTTGGATTACAATTTTTTAAACAAAATTAACACTTTAATTGAACAAGGATACACAATAAATTGATCAAAAGTGAGAAATTTATAATTTCAAGTAAAGGCTGTTTCCACATATATATCAAACAGCACAACTGTTTTCAACATTGCTAATAATCAGAAATATTTCTTGATCATCAAATAATCATATTAGAATGATTTCTGAAGGATCATGTGACACTGAATAACATTTACAATAAAATACAGTTATTTAAATTCCACAATGTTACTGCAATTACTGTATTTATTATCAAACAAATGCAGCATTGGTGAGTAGAAGAATAACAATAAAAAATCCAACTGCAGGATTTTTCTCTATTAGTTTTGCATGAAATAACAGTTACAACTGCTTTGGGCCCCTTAAATGTACAGTAGGTTGCATTAAAAAATGATTATACACACAAAATGCGCAAGTCTATTACAACATGTAAAATAAATGTGTGGCCTTTGAAACTTTTCCAAAGTAACACTTTGAGTTGAGTCAGCTAATCCAATTAGCCTTAAAGAAGAAAAAGGTCTTGGATGAACAAACGCTTCCAGCTACAGTAGCAGAATGACTCAGACAGACACTTCTCAAGAACCGCAGGAAACATCTGGATAAAGCTGTAACAAAGCCCTCGAACCCCCAGTGTTCTGCATCTCAAACCGCCATCGAAACCAATGTGGCAAGAAGAACTCAAACATCCAAAATGGAAAAAGACAGACAGAATCCACAAGATCAAAAGATGCTGAAGGAGCGGAGCCTATGGTGGGAGTATTTGTGTGGGCAAAAAAAGAAGGAATAGACAGGGAGTCAGGCGTACCTGGGATGCTTTGTCTTCTGGATGTGAGCGAGTTGTCTGGCCCCATCGAGTCCTTGTTCCCCTTAGAGTACGGCCCATCATCTGTAGGGTGAGAGACACACAATCAATAAAAACTAAAGACCTTAGACGAAACAGTTCACAATAAACGTAGTGTCGCCTTTGTGTCTTTTTGACTCAGCATCCAGGGACATGCTAATTAGGATTTGCCATCTCTTGACGGTAATAATCACAGAAAATTCATTTGTGATTTTTAATAGAAAGCATTTGTGTGACAAACTTATTTTGGATCGTTTTGTGTCAAGGCTAATGCCTGAATGCACTGAATGAGTAGATCAAATATTCATGAGCAGCATAGTTTTAATTTCTTCAAGGTTTCTACATGAATTAGGTTTTTTTTTTCTCTCATGCACTGGGCTCATTAGCACTAAGCGTCTCTGGAGCTTCCTTACGGCTCGGCACAATTCAGTTCATCTTTTAACGCCAGCAGGACAAACACTATTAATGTATTCAGCCAAAATAAGGTAACACCTGTTGCCATCATTATTAGCTCAAAACACTTTTGCTTGTGACTTTCCTTCAATTAAAGACACATTTTTTCAAGAACGTTTAAAATGTTTTTTTGAAAGTCTGGACAGCAAAATTGAAAAAAAAAAAAAAAAAAAAATCAAATCTGATTCAAACCACATATGAAGGTG